TCTTTTTGTATCAAAACCTAATGAATCCACTACGGAGAATGGGTTTTTTTTTCTATTTTTTCACTTTTTTCAAAAAATCGCTTGTATCCACGATAACTCAAAAAATAATTGAGATAAAAACTTCAAACTTTGTATGATTATAGCGCCGTTGGTAACGAAGGCTGGTATTGTCGGTGGGCGAAATCGGCCCAGTAGTTCATGAGATATTTAACTTTATAATCGAAAATTCTTCCTTTAATATCTCAAAAACTACTGGACCAAATGCATTCTGCTTGCTCTCAAAATTTTCGTCTGAGTAGTGGCTATCGAGACAAATCAAAATATAGGTACCATTCAATTGAAAGTTTTCGAGATATTTCAATTTTTCTCTTTTTTTGAGATCAGATTCCTATTTTCGACTGTGAAGTGGTTTAGACTTCTATTAACGCTGTCAAATTCATCATTCATATCAGGTTGGTGTCTGGTTATTGAATTATATGGTCCTGATCATGAATGTAACGCGTGGTCAAGACAGGCCCTGAACCGGGCACCCGTGTGGGATCTTATACGGAGATCCTAGCCCCGACCTGTTCCGGGGAACTACATCAGGTCCATGCTGAGTTAACTTATACGGTCCTAATTGAAAATGTAATGTGTTGTCGAGTGAACGACTACTAATCCGCTGCGATAACAAAAGTATAAGTGATTAGATTATTAATGTTTACCATGGAATGGTTAATAAATAACTCGGAGGCATTGAAAATTGAGTCATTCCAAACTAGGAGAAGTGGAATATATTTCAAAAACCATTCACTACTTCATTTCCCACAAAAGTCCTCAACTTGTTTTTTTACGTATTCTTTAAATGATGGAAAAGGCGTGTGCAAAGTTTCAGACTACTGGGGAGCATGATTAATTTATTATGAATCTTTGAATAAGTGGTCATTTAACCCGTGATCTTATGGAAATCATAAAAAAAACTGCAAAGAAAGAATGCAGCCAAAGTCATGAAACTTTAGACACATTTAGAAGATATGATCAATGATTTTTTGAGTAAAGAAGATTGCCGCCTAGGAGCATTGTTTATTAATAATAGCGAAAAAAGTACTGAAAAATTAAATTTCTGCACACGCAGACCAAACGCGCAGCTACGTCCCAAGTACCGATCGGGTGGGGGTAGCGCAGTCAATTTAAACGTCTCTTGAGAGAGAGCGATGAAGCGTTGTGATTGGAGCTCCCTCGAGCCGGTGGTACCAGCTCCTGGTGAAAAAAAAAACTACCGACGATGTTGTCACTTTTTCGCATGGATTTCTGAACAATCTGAAAACCATTCAATGCGTGGAACAGATACAAATAAATTTGATTAGCTTCAAAAATAATTTTTAAGCGGAGATACTCCCTAATATTGCCTGAATTTTGAATCCGAATGGGAAAAAATTTCTTGTTCAGCGATTGGTTTTCTGCAGGAAACAACAGAAACCCCTCCGCCTCACCTCCTACATTTCCTCCTCGCCCGATTATCCTCAAGTGATTTTTCGATTTTCTAATTTTGATAGCAAATTATGTAGAATGTCATGAATCGTGGAGAAATGACGTTTTAGGGTCATGTCTGTATTTTTGTGTGATAACTTTGGTTTTTGGTGATAAATTTGTAGAAAATTCAACATAAATACGGTGAAATTTGTCGAGAAAAATCTGAAATTTTGGCTTCTGGTAGCTATGATTAAACTTCACTTTGTTGCGCTGTTTCAGCCCGATCGGTCCAGTAGTTCCTGAGATATAACAACTTCTTTAAATTTCATTTTTCTCCAATATCTCAAAATCTAGTAGACTTATTTCAATTTTTCTTTTTTCAAAATACTCGTCTCGATGGCCCCTATCTAGATCAATCAATATATACAGATCCGTTCATGCAAAGTTTGAATATATTACCGCTTTTCCGTTTTTCTATGAAAAATCTGGTTTACACGATAACATACTAAAAAATGGAGACAGCGAGTCGAAATTTTGTATGCTTTTAGCTTTTATAAGATAGACGGTTGGTATTGTGGATGAGTGCAATCGGCCGAACAATTCTTTAAATATTCAACCTTTTATGTAAATAAATTTATTCAAATATCTCATGAACTACTGGAAGGATTTCAATTCTTTTTTTTTCAGAATACTTCTATCGGTGGCCACTATTCAGATCAATCAAAATATATATACTCGTTCATAGAAAGTTTCTTAGATATTCTCGTTTTTCTGTTTTCTTCTTTTTTCAGTTTTTTACAACGTATAACTTGAGGAAAAATGGGGATAGCAGGTTAAAATTTGGTACGATTATAGCTGTTATAATACTGAAGGTTGGTGTTTTGGATGGGTGCAGTCGGTCTAGTGGTTTTAGAGATATTCAATTTTTTGTAAAAATCCATTTTATCAAAAAATTGAATATCTCATTCTAAACACCCTGTAGAATATGTGTGCTTGTTACTGGGACAGGGCGTGAGGTAATATGTTGTAATTATTTCCACAATTGAACAAAAGTATGATTTTTGAATATCTAATTTATTAAATATCTTTTAACTCCATCAGTTAATTTGACACGAAAAAAAAAGATTTACTGGGAATATTCGCCTGAATATTAGGGGAGAGTGGAGCGAAATGGGCCATTTTCAATCGCTAATAACTCGTGAACGGAAGGGTGAAAATTGTCTTTTTGCTTCCGAATGGAGTCCTTGTATTTGAGCAATTGTTTCAAATTGACTTTATAGAAATAGGGGGAAATGAGCGCAGCTGTACCCTACCCGTGTGACCACTACTGGTTCTCAAGTTGATTTATTCTCATTTCATATTTGCTTCAATTCAATCGATCTGATCTTTCATCTAGATCGATCGGAATATATATTTATACATTTATACAAAGTTGTTGAGATATTGCCAATTTTACATTTTTGGTTATCCTTAAATTCCTTGTTCACACAATAACTTGAGGAAAAATTGTGATAAGAATGTGACGTGAGAAGACAGTTTCTCGTGTAAATGGAAAAAGGGAATTTGTATGAATCCATTCGGAAGTTTACCACCAATTGAATTGGTAGAAATAAAAAATAAAAAATAAATAAATAACACATAAATTATCAGTCACATGTGTCCTGCAGCATACGAACGGTCAACTGCTTCTTTCTTTTCAAGTACTTTTTCATATTTTACTTCAATACATAACCGTGGCGGAACTGAATTCGACGTCAAATAAATATTCAAACCTCTCGTTTATCGATATGATTTTTATCAAAATTTTTTAAACTTTCAACGAACATACTCTATACAGTCCTTTGTCGAATAGCGCAAACGAAATTTCGATTCAAGGAGCTACTGATTTTTATCAACAAATTTCCGATAATCGCCGATCTTGGCAACCGTTTGTACTATCGAACCAAGGTCGGTCTCAAATATTCAAAAAACACCTGTGTAAAAAATTCCGTAATTGAACAACTTTTTGGTAAAAGCTCAAGATTATCATTAAATTTACGTTCATTATTTTTTTGTCATTAGCATAGAAGTTGTGCCGTATTGAACAGCGAATCCAGGTTGACGGATGGCCGCCGGCCGATGAGGACACACCGCGCAATATGGGCACCGTACTTGAGGAGTTGAAAAATTTGTTTGAATGTCCTTATGACCGACGCGAGTGGAAATTGCTCCAGGCCCACCTGAAGCACGATCAGAAGTTGATCAAGTTTTTGTAAGGTTTGACTGATCCGGTGATTCCTGACGAGAATCTGACCAAGTTCTGATCTACCAGATCAGATCGCAAAAACTGCAGGCGGATTCAGATCAAGTTCTGATCACATAGACATGATCAGGTGATGCCTGATGAGAACTTGACCGCGTTTTGATTTAGTAGATCAGATATACAGGGTGTCCCATTTGAAAAAATGCGGCCAAATATCTCCTAAGGCAGACAAGTAACAAAAAAATGTTCGATACAAAAATTGTAGGGTTTCGAGGGGGACATTCGATGCATTCATTATTTTGAGCTTTCAAGCTCATTCTTGGTAGCTGGAAGTAAAAAGCGCTTTTTTTGAAATGGCAACCAATTTTTCACTCTAACGAAACTTGTTCATCTTGATGAGTTGTGTTCAGGTACCTTGTCATTCATGTAATTTCCTCTAATTTTACTCTAAAAATGCCACAAAAACGAATTCTGTGGTCACACTGAAGATTCAAACATCCTTGGCGCACCTTGGTGTAATTGTTCCGTTGATCTGTTTACCAACAGAATTCATCAAATATAAACAATAAACAAAAAATTTCGAATACCACGTATGAGCGAGTATACATATTTCCTGTCAAAATTTCAAGTTGCTATCTCCATTTTTGCGCAAGCTAGAGTGTTCACAAAGTTTTTTTTTTATCAAAAAACGGAAAAACGCGTATATCTCGAAAAATTTGCATAAACGGGTATATATGTTTTGATTGATTTAGATAAACGGTATCGAAACGAATATTTTGAAAACAAAAAAATCGAAATCAGTCCACTAGTTTTGAAGATATTTGCAGAAAACCATTTAAAAACGAATCGCTTTTTCTTCGAAACTATTTGATCGATCCAGCTGAAATGTTGCACGCAGTTAGTCTTCATTAAGACATATAATCTGACAAAATTTGAGATTTTTGCTTCCAAATGCAAGCATTGCAATCCTTCGATTTTCACATTCTCTAATTTTGATTGGAAATAATGTAGAATGGTCTGAAACGTAAAAATACGAATTTTGGTGACCATCTCTCTGTGACCACGTCCACCGCCACCTTCACAGTGGTCAATTTTTAGAAATTTGAGTCATTAAGTGGCTAAAGTAATTCCAAAAAATCTAAAATTTTGTCAGATCATAGGTCTTAATGAGGACTACTTCTGTGCAATTTCAGCCCGATCGATCTAATAGTTTTNTTTTTCCCCCCCCCCCCCCCCCCATCTCCCCTTCCTGCTTCTTCTTGATCAGCGTAAGCTAGTTACGCTGGCAACTAGCTCGCGGACACAGCTACGCCTCGTGCTGCCATTGGATTAATGGTACATCAATGGCACCAACTCCATTACAACCCTCATGGCTAATCCCCGTCAGGAGCTCCCAGCTCTCTCGAGGCAGCAACATGTAGGCCCCGTTGAGAATGAGCAGCCATCCTTGTGGAGCCAGATCGATGGGTCTGGCTGGCCTCCCCATATGCCCATCCTCAATCCTCCGCGTGATGAGCTCATTCAACCGACCTCTGGAGGTTTGCTGAGCCCAGGCTTCTGGGAAGTTAACTCCAGCTCTCAGCTCAACATATCCTGGATATCCCTGTAAGCAGAAACAAAAAAGTTATGACAATTGTTCTGGGGATTGAGAAAGAAGAAACAGTGAGGGCTTGGTACTTACCAGAGCTGGCGGGTAGAAAACGAGATTCTCTACCTCCTGATGATGGTGCTGAGGCTGCTGGGGCTGCTGATGATGGTGGGGCTGTTGGTGATAGCAAGCCTGCTGGGGCTGTTGATGGTACTGAGGCTGTTGATGGTGCTGAGGCTGTTGATGCTGGGGCTGTTGATGGTGCTGAGGCTGTTGATGCAGCAGAGACTCCTTATGATGCTGGGGCTGTTGATGGTGCTGAGGCTGTTGATGCAGCAGAGACTCTTCATGATGCTGGGGCTGTTGATGGTTAGGAAGATACTGAGGTTGCTGGGGTTCATTGTACTGCTCCTCTTGGAGCAGTCTCGCTGGAGTAACGATTTCATCGCTATACCCACTATCGTCATCATCATCATTATCATCATCATCCGTAATCTCCATTTGCTCCTCAGGACTCGGGACTTCATCAATTATGACGACGTCATCATCGTCGGTCTCCATGGGCACTTCGTCGTCGACGCACTGACGACGTCATCTTCTCCAGTCTCCATCCTGTCGAGTTCCTGGCGGGGACCTCCATGAATGATGACGATGCCATCTTCGTCTTCATCCTCAGCCTCTCCTTCTTCTTCTTCTTCTTCGTCTTCATCCTCTTCCTCTCCTACTTCTTCTTCTCTCCCAATATCCATTTCTTGGGTTGGCCCTTCCGCCTCCATCACCTGATGCCGTTGAGCTCGCTCCGCTTGCTCCTCCCGAAGCCGAGTCAGATATTTGGTAGTGCGCTCTTCGAAGTCCTCGTCGAGCAGAAACTCCCACATCAAACCCGCTGCAGAATGAGCGGTGACCCACACTGTTGCCCGAGGGTCCAACGTCACATGAGCAGCCAAGAGGGGGAAATGTTGGAGAATGGATTCATTCTCCACGTGGAGAATCATAGTCTTCTCCAACTCCTCGCAGAGGTATTCCGCCGTATAATGTTTTACCCACTCCAATGGGCAAAAAACGTTCTCCTTGATGGCGACATATTCTTGGACGGGATTCATTGTTACGAACAAATGAACACGAACACTTGCACAAACACGAATGAAATTTTACGTTTTGCTGTCCTTTGAAGACGTTGTGGTGGACTGTGAATTGAGGGTGACTAACAAATGGCATTTATAGGAGTAAACTACCCCCACCACGAGAATTTTTCGGGGTTTTGCACATAGAAAAATGACTAACACAGACCACTTACCTCACAACCAATAAAAACCCAAAACTCTTCTTTTAACCCAGACCGAGTGCTTCATTACTTTATTATAGAGAATTCCAAAGCTACTATCTGCATCGAAAAATCTGTACACTGCCTCAATTTTCGAATCATAAAACTTGAAAGGGTCATCGATTGGGAAATTGTCGGAAAGGTATACTCAATCCCTCTGGAAAAAATCTGTACTCTACTCTGTTATCTGATCAGCAGATTTAAAAGCTATATGACTCAGAGAGAATATTCAGCGAGAGTAAAAATGTGGAAATCTGTAGGATCACTCTTATTAGTCATGAGAATTTATCTGAAAAATCTCAAGAGCAGACTAGGATATGATGTTGAAAATACTTTGTCTTCTATCTCACAAAAACTTATTTTACATATGATTTATGACACCCCTATTTTCCTGTATTTCAGCTAGATAAGGGTTAAGAGAGTAAGAATAGGTGTACGAAAAAAAGTGAAAGTATTTCAGACTCAATTTTCTCTCGAGATACGTGATCTTAAAATCACCTTTCACAAAACATTATCGCGTCATCCATGAAAATTTCTGTAAATTGTTTTCCTACATGATTTATCACCCTTATTCCCGAGGATTTTAGCTAGATCAGAGTTAAAAGAGTAAGAATGTGAAAAAGATGAAAGCTTTTCAGACTCAATTTCCTTTCGTGATAAGTGATCTTGAGAATACCTTTTCACAAAAAATTATCTCGCCCTCTGCGAAAATTTCTATCTTTGTATTTTTTTCACGTGATTTACCCCCACCCATTGTTTAGACTATAAAGCCGAGGTTTTTCCATGGTTTTCCATCAGTTCTTACGTAAGACTTACGAGTAACGTTTCAATTTTTGTCACGATGAATTCTCTTGTGTGCAAGCAGTGGCTCAAGCGTTTGGAGAAGTGTCATGTCCAAAGGCGTAATCTGCGTCTGGGGACTACGGCTGAAATAAATTTCTTTATTTCTTTGAACAATTACTAAAATCTTTCCAAGATTTAAATGACTTTAGAATGAAGTTATTAATAGTCTTGTTTCATTTTTAGAAGAAGACGACGCTATGGAATGTTTTATACTCTTACCTTCTTGATTTTATTTATATCGGATTCTATTTGATTTGGTGGGGAGACTAGGGAAATGGAGGGACTAAAGGTTGCGAAATGACCAGAAGATTTGTTTATGTTTTGAAAGATTTTCTCATATAATTTTGACCCAAATAGTTAGCAAGTTTACAGAGAATATACAATTTAAAAGTTCCTTTTTCTATACAAAATTATATTGAATCATGGGTTTCGGCTAAGTTCCCTAGAAAATTCCTTGTATAAGTTACCACTAATAACTGGTACTCACTCAATGCGGTTCTAACTTCTTTCTCTAATCCCTTAAATATTGAGTAACCAATTCACTTAGTTTTTGAAAGATAATGTTTGGTGTGAACTTCCGTTCGTTTCTCGCACTTTCGTCACAGTCCGAGAGACTACTCATGCACTAAGATAAACTTTCATTTACGGTTCACCATAGGTGATTCTGATGTTTAAAAGTTGAAGTTTATTTATTGAGCACACTAGCACTATCGAGGAACGGATTAGAAATAGTCTTTTAGGTTAAGAAACGCGGCTACTCTCGATTTAAGAGAATTAATGTCCCCAAATTCAAAACAACGATCACTCCCCAAAACTTTGTTGAAAGAAGCCAGCGTTGTAGCATCAGTATTTATCGACTGAATTACTACCGGAGTTGATTTGAATTCGATCGATTCCGCGAGCGATTTCCGCTGAGACCTTTTGCTTCCGAACCACGACTAATGACTGGCTTCTTTTTCATGGCAGTTTTGCTTGGTGAGGAATTTTGACTCGTGGCAAAAAAGGAAAAAGAGAGAAGATATTCTGGAAGCTTCTCTGTTAGGAAATCGCTTGTTGAAACGGTCGTTAAGCGGTAGCATTTTTCGGGGGTGATGCACTAGGCGCTGACGCGGCAATTGTTATGGAGTTGAATGCTCTTGAACTCCCTTTTCGATGGAAACAATTTAATAAAATATTCAAAAATGTAATTTTGGATATAACATCCCCTGTTCAGGACTGGGATTGCCGTTCGTATGGCACTCAGTTCTGAAGAGTGTTTATGGACGTTGCAAATTTTTAACTGGGTTAGTCGGGTGTCATTCTTGCTGACTCCGTAAGTCATTCAGTGAGGGATTTGACCTGCCGGTGCTGGTTCAAGAATTNTCAGTTCTGAAGAGTTTTTATGGACGTTGCAAATTTTTAACTGGGTTAGTCGGGTGTCATTCTTGCTGACTCCGTAAGTCATTCAGTGAGGGATTTGACCTGCCGGTGCTGGTTCAAGAATTTGTGCATGCTTGGTTTACTTTTGTCTGCTCTACTGAACCGGTGACTTTGTTGTTGGTTTTTGGCTGTTACTAAAAAGGTAGGTTATTTTATTAAAAAGGTGGGTTATTTTGGGAGGTATTGTAGTTCAGTTAATGGGTAATGATTCCTGTTTATAAATGTTTGTGAAATAAATACTTTAGGTAGTATTATTTATAACATAATAGCTTGCTGTGCTTGAAAAGAGGATAATTTTGAAAGAAGTTTGGAAGAAGGATAATTTTTGTCGATTTGAAATTTGTAGGGTTGATGAGTTTAGAGGTAGATGGCGCTGGGGGTCGTTACGAAGTGAGCTAAGTTATCCACCCGGCCGGTTAAATCAAGATGGCGTTTACTCGTTTGACACGTGGATTATTGGCAATGTTTTCGGATGGACCAGCGAATTTCCAGGGTGAACGGGTGTTTTCCTATCATTGATAATGTTTTCTACAAGATGATGATTTTAACGGTAAGGTGAAATTCGTGTAACCCTTGCGGCCTGTTTTTTTTTGTGGATACGGTATCTAGGTGTTCCTGTCATTGGAGTGAGTACGGCATCTAGTTATTTTGAAGTGAGGTTAATTATTCTAATTATTCTAATTTTCCCATGTATTTAAAGATTAAATTCTAGATATTTCAATGAGGATTGAATTTAAGTATTCTGGATATTTTAATTCTGATTCTGAATTTTAAATATTTTGATTTAAATACGAAGGTTGGGTTCTGAATGTTCTAAATAAAGTGTTTTTACATGAAAATATATATGTTGGCAGACGTATATATATATACATATGCACAGCATACATATACGCCTCCATATACACTACATGTGGCTATCCTACTTGCCTCTTCTCTGAGAGGCCACTGCGTCAAATCGGAAGCGACTAGGTACCTCTGGGTTTAACCCAACTTTTTGAAATGGGCGATTCCACAATTCTGGAGTTCAGGACGCCACGCACACCACACACATTTCGCGATGTTAAAACCCAGAGGGATTTAACCCGGAAGGAGTGTGTTTTTCGAGCGGGGGACCGTAAAATTTTCAAAAATCGGAGGCGACTACGTCTGTTTGATGTAGCGGAGGCCAGTTATAATTGCGTGCAAAATATATATATATATATATATATATATATATATATATATATTCATATATATATTAATATATATATATGAATATTTGATTCCCCCTTTTTTTTGTTCCTTTTTATAGGATATTTGTAAATATCTGTAAATTTTTATCTGATTTCTATTATATGATTTCAGTTAAGTGATAGTTATTTCTTATCTGTAGGTGATCATGATGGGAGAGTGTGTTACGCTCTCTCTCTACGGTCTTCGGGGAAGGCTTCAGATCTTATTGCCCCCGTTGTTGGGGCTGGTAAGGCTGGGATTTGATGCATTGCTGACCTGGCGATGGTAGCCATTGGAATCTCATCTACTCGCTCCATGGTAGGCTGGAATGCAGGCTTCGGATGTGAACGGCGATCGTGTCTTAGGACTTTGCGGCAGCAACAACTGGTAATGGACAGGATGTTTAATCCTCTTTTATAAGCGATGATGGTGCCGATTAGAGTGATTATGGTGAAAATGGCTGTGATACTGCAACTGGTGACTGTCAAAACTCGATGATGGTACTTCTCTAGGTGATGTAAGCCGATTTTCTCTGCCTCGTCAATGGTATGTTGCATGTTCTGGTCGAAGATGGTGTCTTCTCTCTCTGCCGGTAAAATGTGTCGTTCTAGTTTTGATAGTGGGTGTATCACCTCAGGCACCCTTTGTAATTCTGGAGCCATTTCTGACATATTTATCGTTATAGGTATCCCATGAATGATTG